TAACTCCAGTTCCAGGGGAATCCAACACCCTCTTCTGATCTCTGTGGGCTTACATACATGCAGACTGTACATAAGATAAAAACAGTAAGTAAAACATTTTAAAAAAGAGCTACTTGTGTTAACTCCAGTTCCAGGGGAATCCAACACCCTCTTCTGATCTCTGTGGGCTTTGTATGACACAGGTGCACTTACATACATGCAGACTGTACATAAGACAAAAACAGTAAGTAAAACATTTTAAAAAAGAGCTACTTGTTGATTGAAGAAATGGCTCAGCGGTTAAGAGCACTGGCTGCTCTTGCAGAGGACCCAGGTTCGATTCCCAGCACCCACATGGTGGCTAACCACCATCCATAACTCCAGTTCCAACAATACCCTCTTCTGACTGTGAGCACTGCATGACACAGATGCACTTACACACATGCAGACAATATACTCATATATAAAATAATAAAACCAGGCGTGGTGGCGCACGCCTTTAATCCCAGCACTTAGGAGGTAGAGGCAGGTGGATCTCTGTGAGTTCAAGGCCAGCCTGGGCTACATAGTGAATTCCAGGCCAGCTGGGGCTACAGGGAGACCCTGTCTCAAAAAGACCAAAATAATAATAATTAACAAAATATTTTAAAAAAAGAGCTGCTTGTGGTGTGGACACTGGGAAACCTGGCCTTTGAGGTTGGAGGTGACCCTTGAAGTCTCCCAGTCCCTGCCAAACTGCTGCCCTCAAAACCATCTCAGAGCGCCCCCTCTTTCTGCATGATGTGAGATAGAGGAGGGGCTTGTCTAGTGGGTGAGTGGGTTGATGACAGTATGTGCCCTAACAGGGTACTGAGGAATATCTCCAAGGGTCATCCCACACCCAGGGTCAGAAGTCTGGGTTTAGGCTAGGCATGGTGGCTTGTACCTGTAATCCCAATACTGGGTTGTTGAGGTGGGAGGATTGCCTCAAGTTCAAGGCCAGCCTGGACTTTTTACGAGTGAGACTCTATCTCCAAAGTTGGTAGAGTGCTTACCTAGCACTCAGCCACCAAGACCATATAAACCAGACATGGTGGTAATCCCAGCATCCCTGGGGTGGATACAGGGGGGACCAGAAGTTCAAGGTTCTTCTCAGTCACATAATGGGTTCCAGGCCAGCTTGGAATACATGAGATCCTATCACTAAACAAAACAGAACAGTCTGGGTTTAGCTGTGCTTTGCACTTTGAATGTCTCTTTATGTTAAGTGATGGATGGAGGTAATAGTACCTGCCACCCTTGCTGGGGATGGAGTGTAAAAGCCCCTGGACACCCTAAGAGGGCTGTGCTGAGTGCCCTCTTGCGGTGGGGACCCAGAGAAGCAACAGCAGTGACCTTGGGCAAAACTGGGTTTTCCTGCCTCTCCCAACTCCTGGGGGACAGCTGGGGACTGCCCAGCTCCTCCACCCTTTCCGACCAGCCGCCTTCCGCTTCTCTCCCAGGTCTTCAGCTACAGTGGGGTCTCTACCTCTCCACTGGACAGGAATCCCCAGGCCCAGGCTCTGAGACGGGGGTCCCTCGGGCCTTGCCTGGGGCTGGGATGACCCTCAGCTCAGGATGCAGCAACGAGGGTTGTCCCGGGGCTGGAGGGCAAGCAGGGTCCAAGGACCCCGAGGGAGTGGGCCAGCCGTGCCCATGTGCATTGGGAGCCCCTGGGGTGGAGAAGGGCCAGGCCGAGGGGGGGTCTCCAGGTCGCATGTGCACCAGGCCGAGCGACCGGGAGGGGCTGGGGTTCTGCGTGGTGGCCCCGGCCCAGCCCCCGGGGTCCCGCGCTCTGCAGTGCCCGGGGGCGGGCGCGTCTGCACAATGGCAGGAAGCGGGGCTCCACGCTTTGTCCGGAGCGCGGCGGTCTGCGCCGTTTCCTCCGGCCGCCTTGGGGACAGGACCCGGCGTCTCCGGGCGCCGAGCTGAAGCCGGGCCCGGCCCCGGGATGCCCTCCCCGGACTCCGAGTACCCCTGCGGGAGTCGTGCCCGCAGCAGCGAGAGCCAGGTAGGGGGGTCTAGGTGGGCCGAGGCCCCTCCGGTGGGGTGCTCAAGACTTGGTCCTGCAGTGGGCATGGGGCCAGGGTGGCTGAGCCTGCTGTTGAGGTTGCACACTGCCGGGTCTGGGGCTGGGCTTCAGGGGTGTCCCCACTTTGGGGTTAGGGGGTGGGCTGAGGTGGCCCCCAACCCCTGGGTCTTTTGTGTCTGCTCCCTCCAGACACACCTGTGGAGCCCTGGCCATCCCCCCCTTTCCTTTCCCTGCCCCACGCCCTCCTCTGTTGCCGTCAGCTCCTTCTTTGGGGGCAGACCTTGTGTGAGGGGGAGAACCTGGGGTCTGGTGTCCCATGACCATGGCTGTGGCCCTCAAATGTCTGTATGTATGTGGCACCGTCTTTGGTGCTGCCTGTGACCTGCCTGGTTCCCTGGGTGGGCACTCCCCTCCCTGGGTTCCAGGGCTAGGGATTTTTTACCCACCTGCTGCTCACCACTCCCACCGGGAAGGGTGCCACTACCCACAGAGGTGAGCTTGATGAACAGTCAGGAAGGCCAGGGAAGGGCACATGGGTTTGTGAAGAGGGGTCCTAGAGTCTGGCTTTGGAAAGGAGTTGCCCTGCTTTAGTGCTGGGGAGACCTGTGATTTGGTGAGAGAGACTAGAAAGGGAAAGGTAGGGCTAGAGAAATGGCTCAGCAGTTAAGAGTGCTGGCTGTTCCTGCAGAGGACCCTGGTTCAGTTCCCAGCACCCACATGGTGACTACGAACCATCCTTACCTCCAGTTCCAGGAGAATCCGAAGCCCTCTTCTGACCTCCGAGACATTACACGGGTGCACTCATGTACATGTAGGCGATTCACTTATACACGTAAAATAAAAATAATAAAATACAGTTGTTTAGAATGAAGAAAGGGAAAGGCTGTACATAAGGGGCTTCTGCTCCCCCAACCTTGCCTCTCAGCTCAGCTGTGTTCTCTCTGGGAATTCCAGAACTTCATCCTCACCCAGACCTGCTTAGTTAATCTGGGAACCCTGGTTCAGTTCCAGGAACTTGTAGTAGAAGGTCCTAGAAACCCTTCTCAGGACCCTACAACCAAGCATGGTCTCTACATGTCATACTGATCAGAACCTGGGTAATGGGTCTGTAGTCCCATCCACTGACTCCACAAAGCTGTCCTGGTCAGGAAGGGGCTGGAGCCTGTGCCAGGCTGGCAGACTAGGGGCTTCGGAAAAGAGACTGAAGTGGATGAGATGCCATCCCAAGATCACTGTCTAAAGGAGGCACTTGGAACTGGGTCCCCCCAGAATCAGCAAAGCCAGGCTATTCTTTGCACATCCTGGGATGCAGGGTTAGGGTAGAGGCAGATTCATAGCTGTAAGTAGGTTGCAAAATTTTCATACCTTCATTAGCAGTAGATTAAGTACAGACAGGAACCAGAAACAATTTCAAGCCCTGACCACCCACCGTCACAAATCCGGGTCATAATGTCGGTTGCTGCCTGCCCAGGACCCAGCTCCACAAGTCATTTCCCTTCAAACAAGTGAACAATCTGCCAACTGCTGTGTATGTGTCCTGTTCCATTTTCTGTCTGGAAGGGCAGATAGACATGGACTGTAAAACAGCCAAGTGTCAAGATTGGCTTCCTGGGGCTGGAGAGGTGGCTCAGTGGTTAAGAGCGCTGGTTGCTCTTGCAGAGGGCCTGGGTTTGGTTCGCAGCACCCACATGGTGGCTCACAACCATCTGTAACGCCAGTTCCAGGGGATCTGATACCTTCTTCTGACCTCTGCAGGCACTAGACATGTACATGGTATACATGCGTACATGAAGGAAAACACTCATACTAATAAACTGAAAATAAATTTAAAAATTAAAATCTCAGCACCCTGGAGGCAGAGACAGGTGGATTTCTGTGAGTTTGAGGCCAGCCTGGTTTACATAGTGAGTTCCAGGTGGGCTGGGACTAGGGAGACTGTCCAGAGAAAAAATGGGGACAGTCAGAAACCCTACCTTTTAGGATGAGAGGAAATGACACATACAAGGCCCACAATGCAGCAGCACTCCACTCCCACCCCCAGCATAGGAGGACCCTATCAGCAGAGCCCAGACCTCACTCACCCTGTCTCTTCCTCCTGGCCTTTGCCTGCTGTAGTCACTCTGTTGTCCAAGCTGTCCTCCTCCTGTCTGTCAACTTGGACATGTCTGATCAAGTTCCTTCAGCCAAATACTCTCTGGTGCCTCTCCACTTACCTAATTAATAAATTAAGTATTGGGCTAGCATGATGGCTCAGTAGGTAAAGGCATTTGCCATGAAGGCTTATAACCTGAGTTCAGTCTTTAAAGGCCACATGGTTGGAGGAGAGCACTGACTCCCTCAGGTGGTCTTCTGGCCTCTACATGTGTGCAAACACATGTACACACACACATACACACACACACACAAATTTAAAAAACTAAACAAGTATTTACCAAGCAGTCTGGATGGATGGAAATAGGGCTGGGGAGACAGACTAAGGTTTGTGTCTTTTGCGGGCTGACTAGGTGTGGTTAGCAGCAGAGTGAACTATTTAGGAGAGGAAGGGAGCAAGGTCATAAGACTAGGAACAGAAGGTGAAGAGGGAAACTGTGGAGTAAAGATCTGCTGGAGAAGAGTGTGCTAGGGGATCAGCATTGCAGGCTGGAGGCTATCGGGTGCCAAGTCTTGGTGGTAGGGTCTTCTAGCTTTTTTTTAAAAATTATTTTTATTTTATGTGTATGCGTGTATTGCCTGCATGTAGGTAAGTGCACCAGTGTCATGCAGTGCCCGCAGAGGTCAGACGAGGTTGTTGGATCCCCTGGGACGGGAGTTACAGACAGTTGTTAGCTGCCGTGTGGGTACTGGGAACTGAACCTGGGTCTTCTGCAAGAACAACCAGTAACCGCTGAGCCATCTCTCCAGGCCCAGGGTCTTCTAGCTTTTTAAAAAAAAATACTGCAGAGGCCAGAATAGGGCATCAGATCCCTTGGAACTGGAGTTACAGATGGTTGTTAGCTGCCATGTGGGTGCCAGGAACCGAACCCAGGTCCTCTGGAAGAGCAGTCAGTGCTCTTAACCACTGAGCCATCTCTCTAGCCCCACCCCTCTTATTTTTTTTTTGAAACAGGGTGTCCTTGTAGCCTCAGCTAACCTGAAAAGCGCTATGAGTAGACCAGATTGGCCTTGAATGCACAGAGATCGCCTGCCTCTGCTTCCAGAGTGCTGGGACTAAAGGCGTGTGCCTGACTTTTTGGTTTTATGCTGAGATAGAGCCACTGGAAGTTCTGGGTGGATATAGTGCATCCTTCTTGAACAGGGCTCCCCTTTGTCTGCCCATGGCCAGCTGTCCAGAAAGGGGGGGGCAGTTAGGAGGCTGGTGATGTTATCTAGCTGGGACATGACAGGTCAGTGGTGCTAATGGAGGAGGATTTCCAGAGTGACCTCGATGTTTTATGCTTAATGAAACCAATGAACATAACTGTTTTGGGGGGCTTTTTTGTACTAGGGATAGAATCTAGGGTCTAGACAAGTGCTTGGTCCCTGAACTATATACAACTCTCTTTTCACTTTAAGAAATTTTAAAAAAATTTATTTTTGAAGCTGGGCATGGTGGCGCACGCCTTTAATCCCAGCACTCAGGAGGCAGAGGCAGGGAGGTCTCTGTGAGTTCAAGGCCAGCCTGGTCTACATAGTGAGTTCCAGGCCAGCTGGGGCTACAGGGAGACTCTGTCTCAAAAAGACCAAAAAAAAATTTATTTTTGTTCTATATATATGTGTGGAAGTCAGAAGGAGGGGTATCAGATCCCCTAGAAGTGGGAGTTATGGACAGTTGTTAGATGCCATGTGGGTGCCAGGAACTAAACCTGGGTCCTCTGCAAGAGCATCTTAGCCTTTGAGCCATCTCTCCAGCACCTCTCCCATGGCTCTTTTTAAAAAATTACAATTATGTCGAGTATGGTGGTGCATGCCTTTAATCCCAGCCTTCAGGAGGCAGAGGCAGGCGGATCTCTAAGTTCAAGGCCAGCCTGGTCTACATAGTGAGTTCCAGGACAGCTGGGGCTACAGGGAGACCCTGTCTCAAAAAGACCAGGAAAAAAAAAAAAGTGGATTTTTAGTCTTGAAGATGGCTCTGGGGTCTGGACACTGAACTTTGGGAAATGACGTTTTAAGTCCTGCGACTAAACAAGCCCCTTGGGAGTGGATAGACGAACTAAGAAGCTGGCCTGGAGGCCAGGGTAACAGCAAGCAGTCAGAGAGACTGAGAAGGACCAGGAGACAGAAGCTGCTTCAGAGGCTGCCTATGTCCAGTGCCCAGCCACGGGGAATGGACCAGTGGGCTGACTGTGGGATACATTGATAACCAGAGAGGACTGAGTTTGATGACCTGAGCCTGGTACAGTAGTGATGGGGCAAAAGTTGGAAGGGGAGAGTGTGAACAAAGTGAATTAGACAGTCTCCATTCCCAGGCTGGGCTGTGGCTCAGTTGGTGGAGTGCTTGCCTAGCATGTATGAAGCCCTAGGTTCAGTTCCCAGCACTGCATGAAACTGGTATGGTGGTGCAGCTTGTAATCCCAGCACTCGGGCGGTTAACACAGGAGAAGCAGAGGTTGAAGGTTATCCTTGACTACCTAGCGAGTTGGAGGACAGCTTGGGTTAAATTTTTAAAGATTTATTTTTGTGTTTAATTATGTGTACGCTTGTGGTGGGCATGGAGGCCAGATGCATGGAATCCTCTGGAGCTGGAGTTAGAGGTAGTTGTAACTACGTGGGTGTTAAGAGTTGTAACACGTGGGTGTTAAGAGTCAAGCTTGAAGACCCTGTCTTAAATTTCCCCTTTCATTGTGGTTGCACAGGCCTTTAATTCCAGCCTTCAGGAGGCACAGGCAGGTAGGTGGGCCTCTGTGAGTTCAAGGCCAGTCAAGATTACATAATAAGGCCCTGTCTCAAAAAACCAAAAGAGGCCGGTCATGGTGGCACACCATTAAAGAGGCCTTTAATCTCAGCCTGGTCTACATAGTGAGTTCCAGGCCAGCTGGGCCACAGGGAGACCAAAAACCCAACAACAACAACAAAAATAAAAAACAAAACACACCTCAGGGGCCTGGAGAGATGGCTCAGTGACTAAGAGCACCAGCTACTCTTGCAGAGGGCACAGGTTCAGTTCTCAGCACCTACACGGCAGCTAACAACCTTCCATATCTCCAGTTCCAGGGGAAATCCAATACCCTCTTCTGACCTTTACAGGCATTGCACGCACGACATGGATGCACTTACATACATGCAGGCATAACACTCATGTACATAAAATAAAAGTAATGAATAAAATATATTTTCAAAAAAACACCACAACCGCCCCCCCCAATCATCTGCTCCCTGCCCAGAATAACAATAAAGAAAATCCCAGCTCCCATTCCTGGCCGTGGCGGGAATGTTTGAATTCGGCAGAAACCATCAGTGTCTGTGGAAGCCCTTGAGGTGCCTGGGGACGAAGACAAATTGAGTGTTAGCTACAGACTCCTCATGAACTTCAAGGAGGGGCTGGAGGAATGGCTCAGCACTTAAGAGCACTTGCTGCCCCTGCATACACCTGGCACAAAATCCCAGCTCCCATTCCTGGCCGTGGCGGGAATGTTTGAATTCGGCAGAAACCATCAGTGTCTGTGGAAGCCCTTGAGGTGCCTGGGGACGAAGACAAATTGAGTGTTAGCTACAGACTCCTCATGAACTTCAAGGAGGGGCTGGAGGAATGGCTCAGCACTTAAGAGCACTTGCTGCCCCTGCATACACCTGGCACGTGTGCTTTACACACACACACACACACACACACACACACACACACACACACACTCAACAGTGTAGCTACAGAGAAAAAGTCTTCCGGAGGAGTTCCCCAAGTGATCTGCTGTATCTGTGCAGTTATGTTGTGTCCTGTCCAAATGCTCAGAAATTTCCGAAATGTCAGTGTTATGAAAGCCAAAAAAAGGGATATGAGCAATCAAATGCCTGTGTGAGCCACAGATGGATATCGAGTTCAGGGTGGGACAGTCTGTAAAGATTATGACGTAGGCAGCTGGGAAAATGAGAGGTTAGAATACAATAGGGTTTTGTAAGAAAATGTCCTTGCCAGGCATGTTATTAGCACAAGTCCCAGATGCTTGGGAGGCTGAGGCTGGAGGATGATTTTGTTCACAGCCTAGGCAACAATAAAGATCCCATCTCAAATTTTTATTTTATTGTTTTTATTTTATGTATATGAGTGTATTGCCTGAATGTAGGTAAGTGTACCCATGTTGTGCAGTGCCCGAGGAGGTCAGAAGAGGCTGTTGGATCCCCTGGAACTGGAGTTACAGACAGTTGTTAGCTGCCATGTGGGTGCTGGGATTAGAACCTGGGTCTTCTGAAAGAACAACCAGTGTCCTTAACCACTGAGCCATCTCTCCAGTCCCAAGATCCCATCTCAAAAAAAAAAAAGACCACCAGATGGCTCAGCAGGTAAAAGCACTTGCCACAGAAGACTAACTTGTTTGTCTTCCTGAAGAAGACAGCTGATTCCTGAAAGTTGTCCTCTGACGTAAACACACAGCATGTACGCATGCACGCACACACAAACAAAGTTGGGCCTGGTGGTACAGACTTGTAATCCCAGCTATTCCAGGGGCTGAGGCTAGAGAGATGGCTCAACAGTTAAGAGTGCTTGCTGATCTGGAGAGGATCTGGGTTTGGTTTCCAGGATCCATACTGGCTAGAAACCACCTATGACTCCAGGTCCAGGGGATCCAACACTCTCTTCTGGCCTCCATGGGCACCTGAGCCACGTGGTGCACACAAACTCCTGCAGGCACACTCACACACACATGAATAAAAATAAGTTTTGTTTTTTTTTTTAAGTAGAGATGAGTGCTGGTGATGTAGGTTAATGGTAGAGTGCTTATGAACAGGTATGAGGCGCTAGGTTCACTCTGCGGAATGCCCAAAGCCTTTGTTAACTTATGCTGCGTGGGATTTCTGCTCCAGAGGAGGACAGGATGAGAAAAAAGAGGCTACAGATGTGATACGGCTTTACTTGCAGGATTGAGAAGGTGGAAGGATGTCAGTATGTTATAATTCCCTGTAGGTTTGAAGTATTTAAAAATGAAAATCAGAGCCAGGCGTGTGGCACATGCCTTTAGTCCCAGCACTCGGGAGGCAGAGGCAGGCGGATCTCTGTGAGTTGAAGGCCAGCCTGGTCTACATAATGAGTTCCAGGACAGCTGGGGCTACAGGGAGACCCTGTCTCAAAAAGACCAAAAAAAAAAAAAAAAAAAAAGAAAATCAGGGGTAATCCAGGCTTGGTGGCTCATGCCTATAATCCCAGCACTAGGGAGGCAGAGGACTGCATCGAGTTTGAGGCCAGCCTGGGCTATAGAATGAGGTCCTGTCTAGCATACACACCCCCCCAAAAAACTGGGAAAATTTCTTAAAATCTCAGCCACTCAGAAGGTCAAGGCAGGCAATGTAGAGAGCCAGAGGACAGGACTGGATGGAGGTGGTGAGGTCATAGGACCTACTGTGTAGTTTTGCTGGAAAGGGATGGAGAGGCAGGGCAGGTGCTAAACAGCAGAGTGAGCCTAGATGGAGGGGGAGCGTGACCTGTGCTGATGGTGGGGAAACATGACCCTGCAGGAAATGGGAGAGTCTGGTGGTGTCCTGCCCCCAGCCCGAGGGGCATATCTGGGAAGAAGGACTGAGTGCAGATTGGATCTGAACCAGTCATAGGAAATCCCCCCTCCCAGTCCTGGGTATGTGGCTGGACATGGAGGTGGCAGCCTATGGGTCTCCTGCTGACTTCTGCTTTTCTGGCAGCAAAGTAGCTGTGGGGAGTGCTGTAGGACTAAGGCTTTGATCGTGAGGAACAGCCCTCCAGGAAGGGGGAGCAGACAGTGATTCAATAAATCCAGGCAGTGCATGGGGGCAGTGATGACCACACCACCTTCATGCGATTCTTTTGTAGCTCTATGCTGCCTTTAGCAGTCCAGGTGGGGTCTACTGTTCCAGGCTGAAGTAGGCTATAGACCAAGGGCAAAGGGTCCATACAGCAGGCCTAGAAAGCTTGCCATAGTTCAGGGTATTTCTGAGCTGGCCTCAAGGGCAGGGGTTGTTTCTCTCTATCCCTAGGAGCAGACAGCGGGTGCTTGGGGAAGGCTGTCCAGATGTTAAGAGAAGCACAAGACACCTGGTGGGAAAAGATGGCGGGTGACCAGGCAAGGGCCCACCTGCACATGCAGTGGTCTGGCTGACAGGTATGTCCGTCTGCGTGACCCCACTTCCCCACCCTTTACCCACAGGTGTGCCATCATGCTGATTGCCAGCAGCTGTACTTCCAGGGACCCCTCAACCTGTGTGAGGCCTGTGACGGCAAGTTCCACAGCGCCATGCATTACGATGGACATGTTCGCTTCGACCTGCCCCCGCAAGGTGAGTCCTAAGGTCCCATCCCAGCCCCTAGGGCTCTCTGGGCAACTTGGAACCCCCTATCTTGGTGGCAGCAGTGTTTTGGTGACTAGTGGAACCTTGTTAGGGCCATGAGAATAAAATAATGAAATCCACATGGGTGGTAGTTCCTTTTATTTTATAAGGTTTCTATTTTATTATTTTGTTTTAATTTAATTTTATTTTATTTTAAAGTGAGACAAACAATCCCAGGTCTGGGCCCTGGCTCCAGGACAATGCTGTACCTTTCTTGTTAGTTCTCACCTCCTACAGCTGCCCTGCCCCTGGTCGGGCCAGCAAAGGAAGCCCCTTTTTTCTGATTTGCCTGTCCTTGGGGCCAGCAGCTGCTGGGCAAACCCTCCGTGCCAAGCTGCCAGCCTAGCAGAGCAGGTGGGGTGGGGGCAGTGTTTGGAAGGAACTTGCAGGAGGAAATGAGAAACCATGTTGAACAGGGGCTGGCTTTGGAAAGGACCCAGACTACCACCTTTTGTCACCTTTCCCAGATGGTGAGAGAGAATTAAGGGGCTCTCCCTTCTGCTAGGGCCCCTGGGACTTCAGGTGTGGTCACAGCAGAGGGGGAGGGGAGGCCTGGAAGGAAGAGCCATGGACTTTGGTCCCTGCCTGAAACAGGCCTGTAGAGCAGCCTCCTTAGCCTTAGAATGGTAACTAGGGCTGCAGGGAGGATTGTGTTTGGGGTGGAGCATCATCGAGTGTCATCCCAAAGCCTTGGGTTCCTTTGGGTGTGGGGGCATCAATAATAAGGACAGATCCATCTCCTGGCAGAACTGAAGCGCTCCAGCCACTTGGTGGGGTAGGGTGGGGTGGCAGGGGACCCCAGATTCTGGACCTCTGGAAGAGGCTATTTTTAAGGCCTAAGGATGGGCCAGAGAGGGAGCAGACACAACTCTTACCCTCTTTCTCCAAAGGCTCTGTCCTGGCCCGGAATGTTTCTACCCGGTCCTGCCCCCCACGCACCAGCCCTGCTGCAGACCTAGAGGAGGAAGAGGAAAGCTGTGTGGATGGCAAAGGGTAGGTGTGGTCCATAGGCAGAGCTGCCACATGGTTGAGAGACCCAAGGACAACATACTCAGTGCCCTGCTCAGACCCCTTCACACCCCTGCCTTGCCCTGATTTCTGGAGGAAACTGCCCCAGCTTGGGCCAACCTGAAGGGTGGCTTACACCCTGACTAGGTTCCATTGTGTGCCTCGGTTGGTCACTATAGGGTGCACAATTCCTCATGGGCAGACATACTGCATCCACGTTATTACTGGGGGATGAGGAGGAGTAGGGAACCCACTCACACCCCACCCTGGTGAGGAGTCACCAGCCCCTCCAGAATCTTGCTTCATTGTTTCCCTACAGGGACCGGAAGAGCACAGGCCTAAAACTCTCCAAGAAGAAAGCAAGGAGAAGACACACAGATGTAAGGAGCCCCAGGGGCTGGCAGACGCGCTCCCCAGAGGACCCCTTCCTCTCCCAGCCCCTGTCCTTTCTCTGAAGCTTGGCTCCTTGTTCTGAACTCCAGACCAGGCACAGGGTCTAGAATGAGCATGCCTTTCCCTTGCCTCCCTGCCCTGCAGCCCAGTCCTGCCCACCTGGCTCAGGTGTATGGAGGAGCAGGAACTTCTCAGACAGGAGGGGTACTGGGAGTCCCTGGAGAGACCCCCTAGCCTTCACCTCCCTTTTGGGATTTTCATCTGGACCATAGAGTGTGGCAGGCAGGGAAAAAGGGTTGGCAGGGGAGAAGCTAACAGACTCTCATCCTCTCAGGACCCAAGCAAGGAGTGCTTCACCTTGAAATTTGACCTGAATGTGGACATTGAAACTGAAATTGTGCCAGCTATGAAGAAGAAGTCACTGGGGTAGGGCTTGGTGAGGGAAGAAGTGGGCAAGGGGCAGATGTAGACGCCTGGCCAAGGCTCCCAGTCTGTATCTCTGCCTCTGTGTGTGTGTGTGTGTGTGTGTGTGTGTGTGTGTGTGTGTGTGTTTGTGTGCGCGTGTGTGCACATGTGTATCTCCTGGTCTGGGCAGGCTGGTGTGGATGTGCACACTTGTGCACTCTAGACCTGAATGCATGGATTGGCTCATGTACATCTGAACTTGGGAGGACCTCTATGTAAACCCTGGGGGCAGGTGTCTAGGTACATGTGTATGATCCTGTGTGTACTTTTCTTTTTTAAAAAATATCTTTAGAGGGGCTGAAGAGATAGCTCAGCGGTTAAGAACACTGGTTATTCTTGCAGAAGACCCGGGTTTGAATCCCAGCACCCACATGGCAGCTAACAACTGTAACTCCAGTTCCAGGGGATCCAACAGCCTCTTCTGTCCTCCGAGGGCATTGCATGGCACAGGTGCACTTACCTACATGCAGGCAATACACGAATACACATAAAATAAAAATAATAAAATATTAAAAAAAATTTTAGATTGATTTTTATTTTATGTGTATGAGTGTTATGCCTGCGTGTAAGTGCACCCATGTCATGCAGTGCCCACAGAGGACAGAAGAGGGAGTCTGATTCCCTGGAATTGGAGTTATAGACAGTTGTTAGCCATCATGTAGTTGCTGGAATTTGAACCTGGATCCTCTAGCAAGAGCAGCCAGTGCTCTTACCCACTGAGCCATCTCTCCAGCCCTGTACTTTTTTTCATTTGGGAGGTGGGTGGAGCTGTGTCTGTGGATGGGGTGGAGAGTTATGTGATTGTCCCCCTAAAACATAAACTAAACTTCTTTCTTTCCTGGGTCCAGGGAGGTGCTGCTGCCTGTGTTTGACAGGAAGGGTATCACACTGAGTAAAGTGGATATCTACTTGGACCAATCCAACACACCCCTGTCCCTTACCTTCGAGGCATACAGGTTTGGAGGACACTACCTTCGGGTTAAAGGTGAGCAAAACAGCAGACTCCACAGGCCAGATGGCTGGGCAGGGAGGGTTGGGGCCTCCTGGAGATGGGAGCACTACCTGGGCTCAGGTTCTCATTGGCTATGCCCCTGAGCAGACTTATTACCATACAGGTGTCTCTCTTGGGTGCTGGTGGCGGGTGTTGGCAGGGCGGGGCTCCCAGGGAGGGCAGCCAGACCTAGACTTGAATCTAGGGGAGAGAAGACTGGGGCTCCCGTGTCCCCCAGACGTGGACACCAAGGATCTCTTGCACCTTCACACGCTGCCCCAGCCAAGCCAGGGGACGAGGGAAAAGTGGAGCAGGGAGTGAAGGACTCCAGGTCCCTCAGTCTGCCAATCCTGAGGCCCACTGGGACTGGGCCACCTGTGTCAGAGCGTGTGGACCCCCAGAGCCGACGTGAGAGTCTGGACATCTTGGTAAGCAGGAAGGCTGTCAGGCTTGGGGGTAGGGTAGGGGTGCCTCCTGAAGGAGTCAGCCTGGATTCTTTATTACCTCTGTATGGGTTCGTTTCCCGTTCTGCAGAGGGGCTGGATGAGAATAGAGGCCTCTCTCTGGATATAACTGTGGCCTAATATAGTGAGTTTTGTCTCTGAGAGTGTTCTAGTGCCCAGGGAGTCGGAGTGCTTGTAGTGAAGGCGAGGGGGGAGCACATTGGTGTTGGGAAGTGAGAATGTGTCACTGACTGAGGATACGGGTGTGTCATGGGACCCTTTTGAAGCTGTGCTTGGAGATGCCTCTGAGGGTGTGTATAACTGAGTTTCTCCCTCTCTGTTTCATGCTTGTGGCTGGGAGACCTGGGGACAGTACTCCAGGTGAAGCTGTGTCTGGACCTGCCAGTCCTTAGGGCACATCTGGGTCTCAGGAGAGGTCCCCTGGGTTAGGGGTATAGAGACCCTCTTAATTCCTTGGCTGGCTTGAGGTTCTGGAAACCCTTGTGGTATGGGGCCATGGGGCTGGTGGGGTTGTTCTTGACCATCCCTTCCTGGATAGGCCCCTGGTCGCCGGCGCAAGAACATGTCTGAGTTCCTGGGGGAGGCAAGCATCCCGGGGCAGGAGCCCCCCATGCCTTCCAGCTGCTCTCTGCCTGTTGGCAGCAGTGGGGGCACCGGTGGTGGGAACAGCGAGAGCTGGAAGAACCGGGCGGCCAGTCGTTTTAGTGGCTTCTTCAGCTCCGGCCCCAGCACCAGTGCCTTTGGCCGGGTATGTGACCCCATGGAGTCAGGGCAGGGCAGTCAGCTGGCCCGGACCCTGACCCTGACTCTGGGCCTCTTTCCAGGAGGTGGACAAAATGGAGCAGTTGGAGAGCAAGCTGCATGCCTACAACCTCTTCGGGCTACCCCGGCTGCCCCGGAGGCTGCGCTTTGACCACGATTCCTGGGAGGGGGAAGAGGAGGATGAGGATGAGGATGAAGGCAATATGAGTCTGAGGCTGGAGGACAGTTGGCGGGAGCTCATTGATGGACATGAGGTGGGTGCAGCTAGGGAAAATGACTTAGTGGTAGAGGAAGGCCCAGAACTTGAGTGTCTTGGCTGTGACATGGTGGTTAGGGTGACCTCCCCTCTCAAGATCTCTGTGTTCTATCGATGCAAAAACATAACTCTCACCTCAATAGGGATAAGAGAGTTTATCCTGGAGTTGATTTTGAGTGACCCATGGCTCCAGGACACAGATTTAAGTCACCCTAATTTCATTGTTCCAACAGTTTGACGAAATCTCTATAGTCACAGAACAAAGAAAGTCATAAATCAAGACACTTTTTTTTGGTCTTTTTGAGACAGGGTCTCCCTGTAGCCCCAGCTGTCCTGGTCCTCACTATGTAGACCAGGCTGACCTTGAACTCACAGAGATCCACCTGCCTCTGCCTCCCGAGTGTTGGCATTAAAGGCATGCGCCACCACACCCGGCACTGACACTTTTTTTTTAATATTTTATTTTTATTTTATGTGTATGAGTGTTACGCCTGTATGTAAGTGTACCTGTGTGGTGCAATGCCCGAGGAGGACAGAAGAGGCTGCTGGATTCCCTGGAACTGGAGTTATGGACAGTTGTTAGCTGCCATGTGGGTGCTGGGATTTGAACCCTGGTCTTCTGCAAGAACAGTCAGTGTTCTTAACCACTGAGCCATCTTTCCAGCCCCTCAAGACACTTTTCAAATAGGTTGATGGAGCCCTGCCTGGTGGCGCACACCTGTAGTCCCAGCATTTGGGAGACAGAGGCAGGTGGATCTCTGTGAGTTCAAGGCCAGCCTGGTCTACATAGTGAGTTCCAGGACAGCTGGGGCTACAGGGAGACCCTGCTTCAAAAAGACATTAAAAGAAAAAAAAAAAAGTTCCCCCCAAAAAACCTGCACCTTCCAACTGAACCTCCTCAAGGCTGATCAACTGATTAGCTCTTCAATAATTGTAGTTTGGAAAGCTGTGGGTCTAATTAGAGCCTAATTACAATCTATCTTGTTATCTTTTGCCCCCTAAATTACCATTCTTGACCACCTCTGTGTGGGACCTAACATCCTGTGACTGACAGATAAAAACCTTTTGGGATGTATTAACTTAATAAAATCCTAGTTCCCACCAGTCAAAACACTGAGTGTCATCAGATGCATCTGAGCCCCATAGCTGGGATGTCTCCACTTTGCTGAAGTAGCCTACTTAATGTTTCCACCAATGTATTAGACATTTTTTTTTTGAGACAGGGTCTCCCTGTAGCCCCAGGGCTGGCCTAGAACTCACTATGTAGACCAGGCTAGCCTTGAACTTGAACTCACAGAACTCTGCCTACCTCTGCCTCCCAAGTACTGGGACTAAGGGCATGCGTCACCAGGCAGGGCTCCATCAACATATTTGAAAAGTGTCTTGAGGGGCTGGAGAGCTTCTGGGAACTTTCATTCACAATTTCCATCAAGAAAATTACATGTAGGGTTGCCTACCTGAGTCCTGCACTCTGGGACTCTGGCTTGCCTGCTCTGCCCTCCCTCTAGAAGCTGACACGGCGGCAGTGGCACCAGCAGGAGGCAGTGTGGGAACTCCTGCACACAGAGGTCTCCTATATCCGGAAACTGCGGGTGATCACCAATGTGAGTGTGGGACCCAGGTCTCTGAGGCCATCACACCGGCTTGCCACCAACTGGGTGGACCTTCAGCTAAGTTTGGGGCTTTGTCTGGCAAGGGTTGGAAACAGGAAAGTCAAACAAAGGTTGCATCTTGGCAGGACCAGGATTCCTATTTACAGGCACCTGGGAGGGGCCTTCAGGCAGGTACCAGAGGTTAAGCTCTATTTAACCCAGGTGACGCCTTATTTGTTCAACAGCTGTTTCTAAACCCCTGCTCTATGCCAGGTGCCCAGAAGCCCACACCTTAGGTGGGGCAGAGAGTGGGCACTAGAGATTTCAGCTGGGGAGAGGAGCAGCTGTCCTGGGTGTGGAAACAAAGGGACAGCTTTCTAGAGAGAGGCTAAACCAGGGCAGAGGTGGAGAGAATTCCACGTGTGGCTAAAAAGTCAGACTCAGTTTTTCCCCCGTGGAACCAGGCAGGATTATCCCTCCCTCCCCCAGTTGGGCCTTGAGGGTTTGATGCTCCCAGGGTCAAACCCTGGAGGTCAAAATACCCTCTTTCTGGAGAAGGGAAAAGGTTTGGCGAACCTAGGAGTCTGGATGGGGCTCCAGGGCCAGGACAGCCCCCCAGCTGCAGCATCCTCTCCCCCCAACAGCTGTTCCTGTGCTGTCTCCTCAACCTGCAAGAGTCTGGGCTCCTGTGTGAGGTGCGACCCGGCCTGGGGCTGCGGCGGGGGAGGTACTAGGAAAGGGTCGGGGGCCTAGCTCAGGGCGGGTGGGCCGGGGCCCGGAGGGGTGGGGCTAGCCCGGGGCAGTGGGTGGGTCCGGGCAGAGCCGACCTGCGTCTCTCTCCTCTCCAGGTGGAGGCTGAGCGTCTGTTCAGCAACATCCCCGAGATCGTGCGACTGCACCGGGAGCTGTGGGGCAGCGTGATGGTGCCGGTGCTGGAGAAGGCGCGGCGCACGCGGGCACTGCTGCAGCCTGGAGATTTCCTCAAAGGCTTCAAGATGGTACGGGCTGGGGGTGGGGGGGCGGCACTGAGACAGGGCTGTGGGTGCTGGACAGGCACCATGGCCAGATCCCACCTGCCCATCCCCTTTAGCTCCCACTAACCCTAGCCCCAGGTGACATCTCAGTGGCCAAAGGCGAGGAAGTACATTCATGTTGGTCACCTGAATTTGGACCCCCCCAACTTGGCCGTCTGTCCTTGCCACGTGGGTATGGGTGGTCACTCCCCCCAAGCATCAGTGTTTTCACCTGGAAATGGCTAAGGAGCTTGCTTCCCTGCTGGGGTGGCATTGGTTAAGCGCCTGGGCCTACTGGAAGGGAGAGGTAACATACTGTGGTTCTGCCCTGGGCCAGTTCGGCTCCCTTTTCAAGCCGTACATACGATACTGCATGGAGGAGGAGGGCTGCATGGAGTACATGCGGGGCCTGCTGCGTGACAACGACCTGTTCCGCGCCTATGTCACGGTGAGGGGGCCTGGAGCCTAGGGTGCTGGGCCTGGGGGCTCAGCTAGGTAGGTGGGACCTGGAAGGGACCACGCTGGACCTGAGCGTCCCCCCCACCCCCGCAGTGGGCCGAGAAACATCAGCAGTGCCAGAGGCTGAAGCTAAGTGACATGTTGGCCAAGCCCCACCAGCGGCTCACCAAATACCCGCTGCTGCTCAAGTCAGTGCTGAGGAAGACGGATGAGCCTCGTGCCAGGGAAGCTGTCATCACCATGGTAACCTGAACAGTGAGCAAAGCACCTTCCTAGGCTTTTTGTTGCTCAGTGCCTGGAACTAAAAGCCCTGTTGCCTGTCCCCAGATTAGCTCCGTGGAGCGCTTCATCCACCATGTGAACGCATGCATGCGGCGGCGACAGGAGAGGCAGAGGCTGGCAGCCGTGGTGAGCCGAATCGATGCCTACGAGGTGGTAGAAGGCAGCAACGATGAGGTGGACAAGGTGGGCATCTGCTCTGTGAGGAGGAACTTCTCCCCTTCTGGATATCCCCAGTGGGCAGGCCAGGGAATGCTGGAAAGCTCACTCAGGGTCTCCCAGCAGTGGCCCTGGCTGCCCCCAACATCTGCACCCTCATCTTCAGCTCTTGAAGGAATTTCTGCATCTGGACCTGACAGCACCCATCCCTGGTGCCTCCCCAGAGGAGACTCGACAGCTGCTGCTGGAAGGGAGCTTGAGGATGAAGGAGGGAAAGGACAGCAAGGTGACTCTAGGACTGCACCCAGAGCCCCTTTCTCACCCACTCTTGTAGGCACCGCCCTTCCTGAGGATCTCCTGTGCCCAAGTCTGGGGCTCATAACTGCATAGTTGGTTAAATAGTGACCTAAGAACATGGGACAAATGGCAGAGTGAGGTTGGTTGTCTGATTACAGTTTAAAAAGTACAGTAGGAGGGTCATAGCCCTTGAGGGTGACAGGGAGGGGTGCGGTCAGCAAGGGCCAGGAGCTTCCCAGACCCTTGCTACTGAGCTAGTAACACAGCACCTGGTTGCCCACCTGATAGGCAGAAACCTCAAATAGTTATTTTAAAATCACCTCCCCCCTTTCTTTGGTGGTTCTGAGACAGGGTGGTGTGCGCCTTTAATCCCAGCACTTGGGAGGGAGAGGCAGATCTCTGTAAGATTGATGCCAGCCTGGTCTACATAGTAGCAAGTTCCAGGTTAGCTGGTGCTACAGGGAGACCCTGTCTAAAAGAGGAAAGAAGAGAAGACAATAAAAGAAAATCATCTGTCTTTCATTTTAAGTTTACTCAGAGGCTCATGGTAGGGAAGGAAGGTGTTTAACAAAAACGGCTTCAGAGTGCCAGTGGAATGGCTTGCTGGTAAAGGCACTTGCCACCAAACCTGACCACCTGAGAGCCAGCCCCGTGTGCCTGCCCCCCGCCAACAAATAAAAAAAAGCTATAAACAACCCAGAATTCCTAATCAAAGGTTTGCAGCTATCTCAGGAACCCGCTGCTGACCCCCACATCTCCTGCTCCCCACCGCAGGTGGACGTGTACTGTTTCCTCTTCACTGATCTGCTCTTGGTGACCAAGGCTGTGAAGAAGGCTGAGAGAACCAAGGTCATCAGGCCGCCACTGCTAGTGGACAAGATTGTGTGCCGGGAGCTTCGAGACCCTGGTGAGGAGTTCTGCCTTCCTGCTCCTGGACAGGGCCTACACTGGCAGGGGCTCTAGTCTTGGCTGGCACTGACCTGGTCCTTCTCTGACCAGGCTCCTTCCTCCTCATCTACTTGAATGAGTTCCACAGTGCTGTGGGGGCCTACACGTTCCAGGCCAGCAGTCAGGCCTTGTGCCGAGGCTGGGTAGACACCATTTACAATGCCCAGGTGAGACCAGAGTGGTGTAGGGGTACAGGGTAAATGGAAAGCCTGTTGATCACAGCTCATTCTGTTCTTGTGCCCACCCAACGCTACCCGCAGAACCAGCTGCAGCAGCTGCGTGCCCAGGAGCACCCAGGCAGCCAGCAGCACCTACAGAGCCTGGAAGAGGAGGACAACGAACAGGAGGAGGAGGAGGAAGAGGAGGAGGAGGAGGAAGGCGAGGAGAGTAGCACCTCTGCTGCCAGCTCCCCCACCATTCTTCGAAAGAGCAGCAACAGCCTCAATTCCCAGCCCTGGTATGTTCGCTCAAGACTTTCCAACACAGTATGCTGGGTGTGGTAGGTCATGATTGTAATTCCAGTACCTGAGACCTGAGGCAGGAGGATTAACTGAGGTTTACACCATCTTGAATTACAAAGTGAGACCCTGTTGCAAGAGAAAAACAGAAGAAAACACACACACATACACACACACACAAAACCACCCAACAAACTGAGTGTGATGGTGCATAGTTGTAATCCCAATACTTGGGAGGCAGAGGCAGAAGGATTACCAAAAATTTGAAGCCAGCCTGGTCTACACAATGAACTCCAGGTTCCAACCCGCCAAACCCTGTCATATACACTCATACTATTCAGTAGGTCCCCACCAGTCAATTATTCCATCCCAGGACTCCTGGCTTAGGACACTGGGCCAGGAATTGTCTTCTAAACAGTATGTTAAAACCCACTGGGAGTGTTGGGGGGCAGCCCTGTCTCCTACTAGATTCCAAGCAGGGAAGACAGTTTTCAGAGTGAGTACTTACTCTGATCCATTGGCAGTGGCTGCTTGCAGCTCTGTGTAGAAGATACCCAGGTCAGGAAAGAGTGCCAGTGTCTCTTGGGGTCAAGGCTGGAAGCTCCTAGGGGATCCCAGCTGCTTCTAGGCCTTTTAGGTTCCCTCTGGCTAGCTGACTCTCCTCCTGGTCCCACAGTGCCTCTGATGGCTCCACCGAGACCCTGGCCATGGTTGTGGTGGAGCCTGGGGAGGCGCTGTCCTCTCCTGAGTGTGACCATGGTCCCTTCGGCTCCCAGTCAGACGAGACCTCTCTCAGCACCACGACTTCCTCCATCACACCCACCAGTGAGCTGCTGCCCCTGGGCCCCGTGGACGGCTGCTCATGTTCCATGGACTCTGCCTATGGCACCCTGTCCCCCACCTCTCTGCAAGACTTTGTGGCTCCAGCCCCTGTGGTGGGACCTGTGCCCCAGCCCCTAGAGTTATCGCAGACCCCATCACCCCCTCCCTCACCCCGCCTCCGCCGCCGCACCCCTGTCCAGCTGCTCCCTCGCCTGCCCCACCTGCTCAAGTCCAAATCTGAGGCCAGCCTCCTCCAGTTGCTATCAGGAACTGCCACTCGCGGAGTGCCCCCAGCTCCCAGCCGCAGCCTGTCAGAACTGTGTCTGGCCACAGCCCCTGCTGTTAGGACTCAGGGCTCTCCTCAGGAAGCTGGGCCTGGCTGGAATTGCCCAGGGCCACGTTGTCCTGGCTGTGGCCCTGAGACATCAGAACCCAAGAGCAGAGCCCGCTGCCTGCCTGGGGGATCTGTAGACTCTGCCAGAAGGAGGTGCAGAGAGCTGCCTTCTGGGGCTGCTCCCAGGGTGCAGCCTGAGCCTCCCCCTGGGAACTCTGCCCAGCACAGGAAGCTGACCCTGGCCCAGCTCTACCGGATCAGGACCACCCTGCTGCTAAACTCCACGCTCACTGCCTCGTGAGTGGCTTGACTCGGGGAGGGGCAAGTGACTCTCTGGAAGGCAAGCATTAGCATTTGGGGATGAGGTGGGAAGAGGAGACTTACACATTCCCCAGTGCCAGCTGGGGGTCAGAGGATCATAGTGGAGAGGAGGGTGTCCAGAACCACTTTGTGAATGGCATCGACCAAGAATGAACCTTCTTCCCACCCTTGCAGGGAGGTCTGAGCAGGAGGAGGCCCCCAAGGGGCCAGTGCTAAAGAACAGCAGAGCAGACAGCACGTCTGGGGGATATGGCACCTGCTTCTGCTGCTGCCTAGTGTCCATGTGCCGGAGTGCCAGGCAGGATGCCTACCTACCTACCACCTCAAGGCTGATTTGCACTTTGCCAGACTAGATGGAGTGGAGAGGGGCTCAGAAGAGCTCCAGACCCAGGCTACAAGGCCCTACCCCTTACCCTGGCAGCCCCTTGTCTCCTGCTTTTGAAATTCCTAGCCCTAATCCTCTGGGCTGGACTCCCAGGCTGCCCACCCACAGGGCTCAGATGGGATGAGCCCCCACCCCAGCCCAGGCTTGGGCTGTGCTCTTTGTCACGCTGCGTATTTATTAAGTTTGGTTCTTTTATAAAGACTTGTATATCCTCCCCTGGAAAGAGTCCTGTGCTTCTGAATCCTGCTACACTGACCTGGGCCCAGCTGTGTGTGTGTGTGTAGGGGGGGTGTTCTGTGCTCTGTGCCTCATCAGCTGCAGCGGGGCCCCTATGGAAGACACTGTGGGAAACAGCAATGTTGCGATGGGGCAGGGGTGTCAAGGCCAGTGCCCCAAGACTAAGCTTGTTTCCTGTCACAGCTAGGAGGCCAACATTAATTGAACTCTAATGAGATGCCTCTTGGCCCTCCCTGCCTTTGCTAGACTTCTGAGCTTATGTCAGGGCCGGTGACGATTTAGGACTTGTTTTCCCTAGGACTCACACCCAGCTACTCAGGGGGAAGTGGGTCTGTCACGTAGGTCCCCTCAAGTATGTGAGGCCCAGAAAAGAGTGCCTTGTCCTGGACCTACCTCTTAGCATTGGTTCCCAGAGTTGGACCTAAACCCAGGGATGGAGTGGGCCAAATCAAATGGCACACTGGTGGATGCCAGTGCCAAGTGAGCACGGTGGCAGTGGGGGAGTCCCCTCAGCTTCTTAGGAGAGGCGGGTCTCATTCTGGCCACCCCTTGAGGCGGGCTCTTCTGGAGGGGTTAGGCAGGCTCTAGGCTCTGCTGCAGCTGGCCCAAGGGGAAGCCCCGGGCTGCGTTAAACCCATTGAGGGCGCAGCACTTGCAGGGCCCTGGAGGCCCAGACTGCCATGAAACCATGGCCACAGGGCTGCGTGGTGGAGGTGGCTATGGTGAGTGGGGTCTTGGGAGGCCAGGGACAGCCTGGAGCCTGGCTTTCAGCCCAGATGCCCAGGCCTCACAGGGAAGCCCTCCTTCCCCGCCCCAAAACCTCTGTACTCTGACCTTGCTGGGAGCTGGGTTGCCCCCCCCACCCCCCGACCTAGTTAGGAGGCTAGGGCGGCGCCCTTCCGTTGAGAGGAAGCATCCTCCCCAGGGCCAGAGGGGTCTGGGGGCCACCACCTAACGGAAAGCACCGCAGGGGCCAGGGTGGCCCAATTTCCCCTTCCCGCCTGGGTGGAGGGGAAATGGATAAGGGGCTGGCAGGGGGCCCCTCTCTGTCGTTCCTAGGCTGGGTCTATGTACAGGGAGAAAGAAGCTGGTCCCACTCCCCCACCCATGGGCACCCTTTTCTGCCCAGGAGCCTGAGAAGTGGGCTACTTGGCTGGCAAATGCTAGGGCCTTTGAAATGGAGGAGGAGCCTGGGCAAGGAGAGGTCCCCTCGTGGGCTAGCCACACAGGGCTCAGCAGCACTTGTTTCTCAGGCCTTCCTCCTCTTGCTGTTGCTTCTGGGTGGCCAAGGTCAGGGCAGCACCCCTGGCCCCCGGTGTGACTGTGCCAGTAACTTCCAGAGGAGGTATGGCCCATTTTGCTGCAGGGGCTGCCCAATGGGTAAGTGGCTGGAAGGGCGAGAAGGTGAAGCAGGGAAATGGGGTCAGGTGGGGGTGGTGGGGGGAGAGAGACCTTTGGGGATGGGGTCTGGTGGGGATGCTTAGGGTGGCATGTAGAGGTGGGAGGGAAGTTGGGAGCCAGAGGTAGGAAGGGAGGGAGGAAAAGGTGGGGAACAGGTTGGGAGGTGCCAGTTGCCCCTCATCTGGGTTCTACAGGGCACTACATGAAGGCCTCCTGCACTCAGCCCTGTGGAGACTCCACCTGCCTTCCCTGCCCCCAGGGCAGCTTTCTGACCAGGGAAAACCACTTTAAGACTCACTGTACCCGATGCCAGACCTGTGATGAAGGCGGTGAGGAGATGCCCAGGACTCAGGACTCCTGAGGCTAAGGCCAGGGTCTTTCAGAAGGAAGTGGATGGCTTGGTCTCAGCCTTTGGGTGTGAGAGGACCCTGTGTCCACTCTCTCCCCTATCCTGTCTCAGTATGCTTTTAGCCTTTTCTTAGTGACCTTCCTGTCTCCATGTCTCCTCTGGTCAACTGTGATCTGCCCATTTCTCTACCTGTGGGGCTAACCTGTGCCTCCTTCTCTGGAGAACCTTCCCCTGCTTCTCTGTGGGGGTCAGTAGCCTTGACCACTTCTGTGCTCCCCATCTTCCTGCACCCCTGACAGCCTCCCAAGTGGCCCTGGAGAACTGCTCTGCAGTGGCAGACACGCGCTGTGGCTGCCAGCCAGGCTGGCTTGTTGACTGCTCCACCAAGCCCTGTAGGGAAAGTTCTTCTTTCTCCTGCCGCCAATGCTTAGACTGTGAGACTCCACCGATCCCCCGTGAGTAACCCATTCTGGACTGTCTGACCCCAAGCCCTTTTCTTCCAGCTCCCTCCCCTCCTGTCCTGACACAAGTCATCTCTTGGTCTACAGGGCCCTGCATGCCTGGCTTCTTTGAAAATGGCAATGGCTGTGTGTCCTGCCCCACGTAACTTAGGGTTGTCCTGGGTCCGAGGGAAGGGAAGGGGAGCTGGGAGCAGAGTGGGGGCTTCGGAGCTAGGTGCTGCTGGGGTGGGAAAAGAAGAGTGTGGGGAGCTAGGCCCAATAGTGGGGAGGGCACTTCAACAGTAAAGGGCTTTGCAGACAAAAGGGGCACATCTTCACTTTCTGCCAGATTTAACTTAGGACCCCTTCCATTCCCATATTAGAATGGATTTGTTTTTTTTTTCAGTCATACCCTAATTCTTATTTTGATAGAGCTTCAGATCTTGGGCTGAATTTGTTGGTAGTCCTTGGCAAGCTGAGAGATTTGCAGTTTTCCCTCTGAACATGGGGGTGCCAGTAGGTTCTTCTAGGGGCTGTGATAAGGGGAAAGGCACTTTATTAATTTATCCATCCAAGCCTTTGATTATCTGCCATTTCTAGACACTATTCTAGGTGCCAGGACTACACTAAAGAGGCAAAAATTTCTGTCTTTATGGAGTCTAGCCCAGAAGCTCAGTAAATAGTGACATTTCAGTGATAGAGAACATTCTTAGCCAGGCATGGTGGCACATGCCTTTAGTCCTAGCACTTGGGAGGCAGAGACAGGCAGATCTCTGTGAGATCCAGGCCAGCCCAATCTGGTCTACATAGTGAGTGCCAGGCCAGCTGGGGCCACAGGGAGACCCTGTTTCAGAGCGAAAGAGAGCGAGAGAGCGAGCGAGAGAGAACATTCTTGGACAGAATGGAGATGAGGAAGGTCCTGGGTAGTCCTCAGTCCCTCCCCCCTTTCCAGGAGCAGCAGCAGCAGCTGTCCAGAGGCCTGTTCTGCCATCTGTGGCTGGAGGCAAAGTAGGTGATGTGCTAGGAATTCTAGTGGGAGAATTGGGATGGACTAACATGGGGCTGGGGATGGGGGTGGCTGCCAACTGGTACCCACCCATTGCTCTTCCAGTGTTCTTGGTACAGGTGCTTCTGGCCAGCCTGATGGTCCCACTCCTGCTTGGGGCCACACTGATCTACACGTATCGCCAATGCCAGCCTTGCAAGCCTGTAGTTCCTGGTAAGTTCACACTGCATACATGCACTACCAGGAGTCCTGGGGTCAGAATGGGTAACCTAGAGCCCTGATGCAGAAGGGAAGACTGAGGGAAGGAGTGTGGGATGCAGAGGAACCCAAGAAGTGCTGGACCAGCACCCAAGCCCAGGGGCCTTGCCTGATTGCTGACCAGATGCTGTTTGTCTCTATCAGCAGATACAGCTGAAACAGAGGCCCTGAGCTCAACACAGGTAAACATCTTAGTACTGGGTAAGAAGACTGCCTTCTGGGGCTAGGAGCATTGCAACCCCTAGTGCTTAGCATGGTTGCTGCACAGGTTAGACCTAACAGACAAAGGTGCTGAGAACACAGTCACGGGTGAACAAGACCAGACACAATCAAGGGACTCTGTCTACTGAGATCCAGACACATACTCTGGGCCTAACATTCAAAGGGATGAGTGCCTTCAAGGGACTGGGGGACAAGAGATGGACAGCAGGGCAGACTTCCAGGCCAACACAGTAACTCTAATCCGCTGGGCCACAGAGAGCCAGTGGCGTCTCCAAGGGAAGGTGATATTGGGGCATGTCCATCTCTGGCCAGACACTGCAGCAAAGGGGCCTGTGGCTGACCTAGGTCCCCTGTTGGCTTCCAGACCACCCACCTCCCAGCCTCAGACAGCACCCACACTCTTCTGGCATCCCCTGGAAGTAGTAGGAAAGTTTGCTCCGTCCAGTTGGTAGGCAACAGTTGGACCCCTGGCCTCCTGGGGACCCAGGAGGTATCCTGCCAGCATGTGCCACAGTCCTGGGGCCAGGTGCCCAGCAGACCTCTGGGTAAGGGATGGCAGTGGCCTGACCCCATCTTCCTAAGTCCAAGGAGGGAAGTTGGGGTTTCACGACCTTTTCCCTGTCCTCACTGGGTGCTGTCTGTCCTGTGCAGTGGGGTCCATTAGACCTCCCTGGAAAGCACCCCCACCTCATGGCCTCAGCTTGTACCCCCGGTTGGCTCTCTCAGGCCCTCCTCTGGCACCCCCACTCTCGCCGGCGCCCCCTGCAGGCTCGCCAGGTGCTGTGCTCCAGCCGGGCCCACAGCTCTACGATGTGATGGATGCGGTTCCAGCACGGCGGTGGAAAGAGTTTGTGCGCACGCTGGGGCTGCGGGAGGCAGAAATTGAGGCTGTGGAGGTGGAGATATGCCGCTTCCGTGACCAGCAGTACGAGATGCTGAAGCGCTGGCGCCAGCAGCAGCCTGCTGGCCTGGGAGCCATCTACGCAGCCCTGGAGCGCATGGGGTTGGAAGGCTGCGCCGAGGACCTGCGCAGCCGCCTGCAGCGTGGGCCGTGATGCAGGGCCCACCGGCCACTTTAATGACCTTTGCAGGAGCCTTAAGTACCGTTACTTATGCGTGTAGACATTTTATGTCACTTACTAGCCCTCTGGCACGGCCCTGCGTAGCAGCGCCGCTGGCCTCACCCCTAGTCACGTGCGAGAACTACCAGGAGGGGCCTAGGGACTGACTGCTCAGCTGTTTCTCAGCCTGAGTTTGGCCTTGGTATTAAATCTCTTTAGAAAAAGCGGCTTCTTGGTGTTTCCATGGAGGCTTGGGGGTTTAGTTAAGTGGCCCTGGCTTCGTTTCCCAGGGCGCCGAAAGGGGTCACAAAGGCGACAGGAGCGCACAGTGGAGACGGGTGGTACCCTCGGCTCCCACACCTGCCCCTCCCAGGTCTGCCACTACCCAGTGCCCCTGCCCCCGGAAGGAGAAAGTCGCTAAGGCGGCGAGTGAGAGTGAGTTAAATAAGAGCCACAGGCGGCGGCGACAGGTTTAATGGGGTGGGGGATGGGGCGGGGAGCAGTTGCAGTAACTGGTGCACGGTCCCTGCCCTCCACTCACACCACTGGGGCAGTGCAAGGGTGAGGGCAGCAAAGGTCCACGCTGGGGACTGGGCAGACGTCATTGAGGGGGACAGGAGGGGGGAGTAGAGGGATAGGAGAGGGGGGTTGGGGGGGTCCTCGGGAACTGCAACTCCGCCCCGACGGGCAGGTTTCATCGTTTCTGGTAAACAAATGACTGAGAAGAAACCCTCGGCAGGGGATGAGAAATGCCGCCCAACCTGGGCCAGCGCAAATCTGGGTCGCGGAGGGAGGAAAACCCCTTCCCCGAGCTCGGGGCCTGCCTCCACCCAGGATGCGCCGGCGATGTGGGTTCCGGGCTGCGGGGGAGGGGGCTGCAGCCGGGCGCGCGCCCCGCAGGAAAAGTCACCACCCACGGGGCTGGGAAGAGCTCTGCACGCGTCCACAGTCAACGAACATGCAAATATATGTAAGTGAGCATGCAAATCAGCAGCATCTTTTTTGCATCAGTAGCTTGGGCACTTTTTCCAGGCGACTGCAGCGGCGGCGGCGGCGGCAGCGGCGGCGGCGCGCGCAATCCAGTGGCAGGGCTGGGGATGTGGGGGCCAGGGGCGGGCAGAGGGAGGGTTCAGGCACCGAAGGGAAGGGCGGCAAGGCTCCCAGCCCTTTCACACCAACCTGACAGGATGGAGCCGGGGCTGGGAGGCCACCCTCCACCTCTCAGGGCTTACGAGATTACGACGAGACGGAGAGGCCGAGGCGTGTTACTTAGGGATCTCCCCCTTCTTCAGGATGACCTGTCGCTGCCAGGGCGCCAGCTTGGCTTCGTCGTAGCCCATGGTCCGCAGCTTCTCCGACTGCTCTTTCGCCCTTTGAATCTCCTCCTGCTTTTGACGTTCCTCCTCTTTTCTGTACATGAGTAGCAGGCAAAAAACCAGTGATTCTAGTGTAGGTACCAGGACAGACCAGAAGCCAAGATGGCAGTGGGAGGGACTGGACTATTGAGGACAGGGGCTGGGCTGCCTGCCGAGGGCTTGCTTGGGGGCCCATATTGGAGTTATCCGGATATTCAGAGGAGATGGAAGACTGGAGGCTGAAGCTGGGGGGAGGAGTTACTGGAAATAGAGGTACTGAATCATTGCATCGTGCGGCCCCGTGTGACTAGGGGTGTTACAGAACTTCAGGCGCACACCTTTAATCCCAGCACTCAGGAGGCAGAAACAGGTGGATCTCTGTGAGTTCAAGGCCAGCCTGGTCTACATAGTGAGTTCTAAGTCAATTGGGGCTACGGGGAGACCCTCAAAAACGTTAAAAAAAAACCCAAAATAAAACAAAACAAAACCCTCAGGAAATCAATGACAGGAGGTCTGTCAATGGAGACAGGACTTGAGATGTTTAGGGAACTGTCAATCTGAATTGCCTGGGAAAGGGGGTGGGGAGAATCTCATTAATGGGGGAAAGGCTGGAGACCTAGGGACAAGTTGTTAGACCATAAGGCTAGGGTCTGGGGAATACCTAGGGGTGGAGTGCTTGCTGAGCATCCTCAAGGTTTGATTCCCCAGCACCAAAATCATAAAGTTAGGTCTGCTCCATGGACAGGATAACCACTAATCATATTTGTCTGTGGAGCAGTTGAAATGTCCAAATTGGGATGCAATATAGTTGTAAAATACACATGGCATTTTGAAAACAAAGGGTTTTTTTTTTTAAAGGCATGCAAAACATCTCAATAGTTTTTTGGAGACAGGGTCTTGATATATTCCAGGCTAGCCTCAAATTTGCAATGCAGACAAGGCTGACTGTGAACTTCTGACCCTCCTGAGTGCTAGGATTATCTTTGCCAGGTTTATGTAATACTGGGGACTGAAGGCTTTGTGCATGCTAGACAAGCACTCCACCAGCGGAACTACATTCCCTGCTCCCATTAATAACTCTTACACTGAAATGTTGAAATGATACTTTTTTTTTTGGTCTTTTTGAGACAGGGTCCCCCCAAAATTCTGTAAGACAGAAAGGGTAGGATCTTTCTATTTGTGTTTTAGTTTTGCGATAAGGTCTCCTGTGGCCCAGGCTGGCGTTGAGCTGGCTACGAAGCCAAGGAGGACCTTGAACTCCTGATCCTCCTGCTTATTATACCTACCAAGTGCTGGTGTGTGCTACCATATCTGGTGAAAGGTGGTGCTAATAGGAGGGGTGGTGTGGGTAATTTAGAAATGTTACTAGACATGGGGGGACAGGTGCTAAGTAATTAAGAGATGGGTCTGGTGTCATTATTGGGAGCTGAGGGGTAATGCTAATAAGGACTGAATTGATGGGATGTATTTATGATAGGTCAGATGAAGCGTGTGGGAAGGGGTGGCTGGGTGAGGGAAGGGGTGACCAGTTTGGGCCAGTCTGACACTTACCGTTTCTGCTCTCTGGAAGGAAAAAGAAACAGTGTTAGTGTTGGTGCCACAACTTCAGAGACAGTCAAGACACCCAGCCAGGCCTGTCTCTTCCAGCCCCAGCTCACCTCTCTTCTTCCAGCTTCTTACGTAGGATGTCTCTCCTCCAGGCAGGCAGGCTGGCCAGCCGGGCCTCCTCCGCTTCCTCCTAGAACACAACCACATAGTTTCTGAATCAGACTGGCCTGAAATCTGAGTCAGGGGCATGCATATCCAACTCTGGGGACACGGAGAATTTGGGGATGACAAAAGACAAATGTGGTTACATGAAAAGACCTTTTTGATGCCCTTCTAGGGGGCAAACAAACAATGGTGCCTGTTCACAGCCTGCTCAGAAGGGGGCCTTCTGCTCCCCAATGATCCAACCAGTTCCCTAGAGGCAGAGCCAGACAGGTCAGGGGAGGTAAAAGGAAACTCATAAAAAAGCAGCTGTGCCCCAGAGTTGTGAGCCTGATTTCCCATAAAGATGGTGGCAAATGGTCCCAGGCCTGTGTCCCAGAATTTCTGAGCAGATGTAGACTTGGGTACCACACACCTGGCCAGCTCAAGGAGCTGCCTCTGGCTCCCATGTGAAGGACCCTCTGACTCATGATTGCTCTTTTCCCAGTGGAAAGGGGAAAACACCCTAACTGTGGGGCTGTAATGACATTAGGGGCATTCAACACAGCCTACAAGAGAGCGTTTTATTCCTTGGATGTTACAGAGTAGAAAAGGGTCTGTACACATCACACGCCACACAGAACACTGCACAGGTGGCCAGGGAAATAGCTGTGAACTCCAGTGGAAAATCAGAGATGGAGAGACAGAGTCACGCTGCCCTAAAGAGGGCCCAGTGTCCATCACTCAGAATGCTTCTGTTGCCTGGCTTCTCAGAAGGGAACACCTGACTTGCCCTGTGCTAAGCCCCACCTATATCACAAATGCCTCTCATTCCCTGCCTTCAGGGGACCTCAAAAGTCCCAGGCAAGCAAGTTTTTGTTTTGGGTTTGTTTGTTTGTTTGGTTTTTGGAAAACCCAGCCTAGGTTCTTTCTGATTCTACCCACTAGAAGTCATTAGCCAGGTGTCCAGGCCTGGGTTAAAATGCCTAAGACTGAACTCTGAATTTGCTGTTAGATGTCAAACAACTCTGCCTCCTTCTCCTTCCAGAAGGAGAAACTCCGGTCAATATAGCGGCAGATGTCCTCGTTGCTAAACTCGCCCATCTCGGACACCAGCTCCAAGGGCTCCTCCGCAGGTGGTTCTGAATTAGGCAGGTCTGAGGCTGGGGGTGGTGCAGCAGGTGGGGGCTGTGGAGCAGGGCCTGGGGCCTCTGGCTGCCCCCGTGGCTGTGGCTGTGTGGGAGCCGGAGTGGCTTCTTCCACTGGACTCCTCTCCTTTTCTCTCTCGTCTTCCTCCTGTTTTTCCTCCTCTTCGCCCTCCTCTTGTTTTTCCTCCTTCTCTTCCTCCCCCTCCTGGGTCTCAGACCCCTGGCTGTCTCCGAAGAACTGGAGCTTGAGGTCCTCAAAGCCGTCGTCCCAGCAACGCCTACCAGTCTCCACCTCCTCCATCACTAAGCGGTGGAATTGGCGGATGACTTCCCATGGGTGGCTGCCCAGCCGGTCGAACATCTCGTAGCACAGCAGGTGTCGGAACTTGCGTTCCTCACGGCTCAGGCCCATCTCCAGCAGCTGAAAGTAACCTAACATGAAGAGGTCCAGCGTGAGACTCTCGTAGGTCCTCGAAGCGCCGCCATCCAGTGGAGGCAGGAAGTGCTCCGGCCAGTACAGGCCACGTGCCAGCCCCGAGCCAGGCGCCTGGCGCGCAGGCACCTGCCTTAACAGGCTCCGCCAGTGACCCAGCAATTTGCCCACCACCTGCCGCTGTTTGAGCAGGTGGAGGAGCCGTTCTTCCGGGCCACAGTCCGAGCCATCACCCGTTGGCTGCTGGGGAACGTCGTCTGCCTCTGGGAAGGGACCAGCGCCAGAGGCCACTACCCTGGGCAGCAGTCTGCGCAGGCGCGCCTGAGCGTGGCGCCCGGGTCCCTGGAAGGTCCACTTGCGCCAGTGCTCAAGGAAAAGGTAGACGATGCGCTCTTTGCGCATGTCGATGTAATCCTGGACGCCTGGCAGCTCAGTGGAGAGCAGCAGCCCGTGCACCGTCGGTTCAGGCTCCAGCACCTTCTGTCCGCGCTCCCGCTCCTGGGGTGGGTCCAGGGTGCTCAGGGGCTCTTCAGCAGCCCAGAGGCCGTTGGCCCCTGCGACACTCGGCTCCCTGGAAGCAATCGTCACGTAGTCCTCCTCCAGGATGGGTTCCCGGTCCGGGGTGCTGGCTGGCTGCGGGAGCTTGCGGCGCAGGCTATGGGTGGGTGCTGCGCCCTGAGCGCGCCGCTCGTACTCTGCGCGAAGGTGCCGCACCGAGACGCCACACTCGAGGATCTCCCGCGCCACGGCCTCGCGGCACCAGCTGAGCGAGTGCGAGCGGCCCAGGCAGAGTGGCCCGGGCCTGGAGGGTGCGTCGGGCAGCGGCGCCAGCGGTTGGCCGGTGTCTGCGGCCAGCAGCTCTGCCAGGTGCGTGGGCTTGCCGCCCAGCGCGGCCAGCAGCGTGGCCATGCTTTTGAGCAGCGTGGAGATCTTGCTGCACCAGGCGGGCAGGTTGGCCGCGTGGCCATGCATTCGGCGCGGGTCGACGGTGAAGCGTGGCGCGGACAGGGCGGCAGAGATGGGCAGCAGCTGCTCCAACTCCAGTTCCAGCTGCTCCAGGCGCGCCTCCAGCTTCTTCGCCTTGTGCAGCACCTGTAGGTTCTCTATTTGCTGCTCGATGCGGTGGATGTCGGCCTCGGTCATGAGTTCTCCGAAGGGCCCCAGGATAGCGTTGTGCTGGTGCGAGTACCTCCAGCCCTCCTGAGGGTAGCAGCAGGAGCTAGCAGCAGTCAGCTAAGGCGGAGAAGACAAGAAAAGGGAGGGAGGCGCGTCTCCCTCTGGCCCAGCTCCTGCTGCAGCGCCGGGCGCCCTTTTGCAAGTCCTGGGTGGTGTAATGGCTGTCTGCTGCTGGGCTGCTTTGTGCAGCGATGGGCCGACTGGCCGGCTGGAGATTGCACTGCGGTGAGGCTTCGGCTCCGGACTCTGAGCACCGTTCACTCTGGTTGCTGGCAGAGGGCACTGGTTGGTGGCTGGGTGCTGCTGCCGGCATTGGGAAAGCAGGCTGACAGACCTGGGTCTCCATGCCTCGCTTGATTGCTCATTACACCACCCAAAGAACATGCGAAAGGCATTGATGCTCAGAGGCACCGAAGCCTTCCCTGATCCTATCCAAGGCCTGCTATTTCTTTTTTAATTTTTAATCTTAATTTTAGTGTATGAGTGTATTACCTACATATGTGTAAATGCACCGGTGTTGGCCAGTGCCTGGGGAAGTCAGAAGGTGTTGGATTCCCCTGGAACTGGAGTTACAGACAGTTGTCAGCTGCCATGTGGGTGCTGAGAATTGAACCCCGGTCCTCTGCAAGAGCAGTCAGTGCTCTTAACTGCTGAGCCATCTCTCCAGCCCCGCAAGGCCTGCTAGTTCTAAGCTAGATGCCAGCAAGGCCTCTCATGCTGCCAGATCACACACCCCTTCTCAGGCTCCTTGTGGCCCAAGTCCTCCTTGTTCCAGTGGTCAGTGTTTTACATGCTTGGACAAAAGGGCACTCTATTCCTAAAGAGGCTAAAGCCACACCCCACCCTTCATACAATGCCTGGAACCTGGCTTAACTCGTATGTCTTATCTTTTCTCTCTACCTCTAGACCAGCTTGTGCCAGACACATCTAGACCCATAGCAGTCTTTTGGACATACAAGTATAATGATCCCGGCTAACTGACCTGAGGCTTCCCATGATCCAGTGCTAGTTTCTTCCAGGCAGCTAGCTCAGCCTCAGTAACCTGACTCCCACCAGCCATCCCCCATCCCCACCAAGTCCAGTCCCCTCTGACTTCTACTCTGACATCTAGATCACCCCATCTTGCCTGGTTCCTCTTCACCACACTCTTTTCCAAGCTAGCTCCTGTGTACTCCCCAACCTCATCTCCCCTTAAGACATCATCACCCCTGGCCCACAATTGGAAGCCAGCTGAGAGTCACCCTCAGTCCTCATGCTCCTGACCACAGTGCCAGGTGTACTATAAAGCCCAGTTGTTTATCACCCCAGGTCATCACTCATATGATTCTGTTTTGTCTCCTTGGGGATATTTGCCTGTGGACACACACACCTCCATAGCCACCTTGAGAGCAAGCTTTGGTGTATTCACTTTGAACCCTCAGAGGATACAAGAGTGTGTATGGCAGAGATGGCACTCAAGGAACATTTACTGAATGAATAAATGCTGACCATCAGTTAGCAATGACCAACTAGCCCATCCTACAGATATGGAACACCACCGAGAGTGGAAAAGTCTCGGTATCAGCAGCTAGAGTCAGTCTGGCCGAGAACAAAGCCCCTCTTCGGATACTCAGTGGGGTCCCTGTGCCATGTCTACCCAGGAGCTTGTTAGAAATGGAGAATCTAGATTCCTCCCCTTCTTAAAGCAGAATAAGGCTTTAATAGTCTCAGGGGATTTGAAAGCACATTAGACTTAGGTAAACACTGATGGCTCACTTCAAGGAGCAGGCCACAGGAGGTGGTAAGGAGGCCCAGACCAGTGTGTGTTCGTGGGTGTCCTGTAAGCCTGCTTTTCTCCAAGGGCAGGGGCTTTGTTGGAGGTTGAGGGGTGACATGGGGAACAGGCTGTACACTCAGTGCAGACCCCAGGGCTTTCTAGGAAGCTGCACCCCACCCACCTTCTTCTTCTGCTCCTCCTCCTCCTGCATCTTCTGCTGCAGCTTACGGACCATCACCTGGCGCTTCCACTCTGGGATGGGTCGGCCCTGCTCATCGAGTGAGGGGATGAGAGGCTCCACGTCCAGCTGCACTCCAGGTGCAGGGGAGGCAGGTGGTGCAGGCACTACGCTGCCATTGAGCAGAGGCTGAGGCCCTGAGGCAGGTGGGGTGGGGCTCAGGGACCGTGATGGCGCTGGTGACACTGAAGGCAGTGGTGACTCAGGCTGCCGGGAGAAGCAGGAGGGCTGAGTACTGGGCAGGCACTGGGAGCCCAGGCGGGGCACCCGTCCAGTGCCTACCTGGGAGGCTGGCTGCCCACTGCCTGAGAACACTGTGGTCAGCCCCTTGCTCTGTGGTGTTGGCTTTAGGCTCTTGCCTGCCTTGATCTCAGCCAGCAGTTCTGAGTTATCACCCGTTGGGGACATCATGTTGAAAGACTTGGTGCCTGTTCACAAGAGAAGAGATGCTTGGTTGGGGGTCAGACAGCATCCCACCTCCCCATCTGAGCCTCTACAGCCCCCTCCCCAAGCCAGATGGGTGGGGGCCTCCTTTGGGCCCAGAGATAGCTCTCTAGATCCTGGGATACCTTGGGTAGCTCTCAGGGCACCCAGAGGTGGGCGCTCAGCTCCCAGTCCAGGGTGCCCCCACCATCCTCCCAGTGTTACTCACTGGGCATACGGCCTCTACCCAGAGGCCCCTGGGAGTTCATGGTGGCTCTTGAGCCGTCCTGGGGGACTCCAGCGTATCTCTGCCCAGCATCGACTGCCCAACTCCAAAGCACTATCCAGCCAGCCACCCAACCTTTGTCCCAGGTTCCCTGGCTCAGCCCCACTAGGGTGGAGTCTCCCTATGGCCCTCTCCCTGCATCAGCAAAGCCTAGTGACCCTTGGACTGAGCCAACTTGGAGCCTCCATGGCTGTAAGACTCAGGACCCTGGAGTGCTAGCACCCAGCTGGACCCCCCCGTCCCCACACCCACAGACAGACAGCAGACTGCAAGCAAAGAGCACATTTATGGCAAAGCACTGCTTGGCCCTAGGGGACCTTGGAAGGAGGAGCTTCCTAAGGACATGGAAGAGGGCATGCAGGAAGAAGGGCCTGGTGGATGGCATGCAAATGCCTGGACAGAGTTTGCATTTTCCAGTGTGGCTGGAGGAGGTGAATGGGGACTTGGGGAGGAGCTGTCTTTGATGCCTCAGATGGGGACAGGAACACAGTCACACTAAAGGCTCTTGGATGCCAGGGCTGTTAATCCCAAGTACATCCCCAAAAGAAGAGGGAACAACACGGGGCCAGCTCATTTACTTAGGCAAAACTGTGATGCTTGGACATGTATGTGGATACCTCCGGGGTACAAGCATAGGTGTTTGGGGTATCAGGTCCCCTCACCAGCCCCTAGTCAGCCCTTTCCTCAGTCCCAGGCCCCCTCTGCCTTGTTTGCCTGCGCAAGCCTTTTCTCCCACCCCACGCCTCAGCCATGAGCCTGGAGCTACTCACTCTTCCTGTGTCTCAGGACTCTCACTTCTAGGAACCAAGAGAAGAGAATTGACAGAGAAGTTAGGGGGGTGGTGGGGTGAGCCAGGGACAGTAAAGGGACAAGAGGGGAGGGACTCTCCTGCCCTTGTGACCTTGCTTAGGCCACTCTGGGGCCCCACAAGGGTGGTCCATTCAGTCCTCAAAGAGCCACACAGGCCACCATGGTGTTGGGTCAGGCTGGGCAGCCAGAATCGAATCCATTTTCCTTCTGTTCCTAACATGGACTGCAGAGGAACAGAGTTGTCTAACAAGTTGGGGTGGGCTACAGGCTCTCCAGGGCTCAGCCAGGGGTGGGCAAACTACCACAGGCGCCATGGGAACTGCTCTCCTCGTTTGATCAAGGAGATGAAGCTTGCAGGGCCTCATCACTGAGACCTGCTGGGCTAAGATGGGAACATCAGCACCTTCCAGGAGGCCTGGCAGAAGGGGCAGTGCCTCACCCCACAGAACAGGAGTCATCGTTCTGGTCACATGTCGAGCTCTTAAAGGGTGACAAAGCTGAGGGTGCACCTTAGCATGCTAGACCCAGGCCGACCCAACACCACCGCCACCAAAAATAAAGACCAAGGAGGGGAAAACACACTGGATTGTGGATTGCCGGGTCAGTATCTTTGTGTGTCGGCCCCCCCACTCCCCAGCCAGGTACACCCGACTGGGAGGAAGAGTCCCTGTTACATTTGGGGATAACTCAGGTCCGTGCTTAGCTTGAAGGAAAAGGCTGAGGACTAGTTCCACTCAGGGCTTCCCTCCAGCAGTGCTCCTTAGAAACACCGAGAGGCTCTCCCTAGCCAGGGGGAGAAGGCCCACAGTGGGCGGGGGGACTCCAAAAGCCACACACAGCCCAGTCCTGCAAAGCTCTCAGGACTTTCTATAGAGTGGAGTCGTCCATGGGGTAGGGTCGGGTAGGAAGAGGTAAGAGGAGAGGAAGAAGGACCAGGGACGTCGCAGCTGGGGAGGGGGCGGTCTCTAGGTTTCCCTCCCCTTTACAGCTGGCACCGCCCCCACCCCGCATCCCGCCCCCACTCACTGCCTGCGGAGGACGAAGAGGAGCGACGCTGCCCGCAGCCTGCGCCCGCGCCCTCCGAGGGCAGAGGCGGTGCAGGTGGCGGCGAACTCAGCGCCTCGGGCAGCGGGGGCGGCGGCGGCGGCGGCGGCAGCTCCTTGGAGGCCTTGGGGTCCGCAGCGCAGCCGTTGTGCACGTGGTTCCTGGGAAGCAGCACCGCCTGCGGGGAGCGGAGGGGCCGGCGAGTGAGGAGCTGCGAGGGTCCCCGATGGCCGTCGGGCGCGGGCTGCTGGGCGCGCACCTCCTCGCTGTGGGCCATGCCCGGGCGTGAGGCCAGCGGCTCTCCCGGGCAGCGGCCCTGCTGGCGGTAGTGGTCCCCCGTGCTGGGCTGCTCGCTGAAGGCGAGGGGCTGGCGGCCGGAGTCCTGCCTACGCAGTGCCGGATCCTGTGGGTCCTGTCTACGCAGCCCGTAGTAGCTGTCGCTGGAGCGGGGCTGCAGGAAAGACCAGGGCGAAGGATAGGCGCGGGGCACTCGGCACGAACGCGCCTAGAGCGCACCAAGCCCCCCCCCGTGCGCCTCCCTCCCCACTCTTGGCCTGGGGGACTCTTGGCCAGCGGCCGTCGAGTGGCACAGCCGGCCACGTCCCTAGGATAGGCGCGGGGCACTCGGCACGAACGCGCCTAGAGCGCACCAAGCCCCTCCGTGCGCCTCCCTCCCCACTCTTGGCCTGGGGGAATCTTGGCCAGCGGCCGTCGAGTGGCGCAGCCGGCCACGTCCCGAGGAGCCCCCCCACTTCTCCAGGCAGGGTGGAGCGAGGGGCAGGGGGTCCTCGGTGAAGGGGGAAGGTTAGACCGGCTCCACGGGGAGGGGTCTGGGTAAGCGCCAAGGGCATAAAGGCCCCCCACTGAGGCCAGAAGGGGCGGACCCGAGGGCGGGGTGGCCCAGCCCCGACGCCAGGGGGAGTCGAAAGGAGCAGCACCCACTCAGCCGTCCTGAGGGCTTGTTTGCACCCTACTTCTCGCTGCTTCACCAACCGCGCGTCCTCAAGGCTCCCCAAACCCTCGCTGGCTGGGTGTCTCTGCGAGAATGGGCCCTGTCGAGAGCCAGGGCCCTGGGAGGCTCCCGCTTGCTCCCGGGCCGAGGCCTCCGGCCCGGGTTGCTCCTACCTGCGACTGTTCGGGTGGCCCCCAGCTGTGCACCTGGCAGCGGGGGCGGCATGGACCAGACACCTGCGTTACCTGATCCGGGGCTCTCAGGTTACGGCCCAGCCCGCGAGGCTCGCGGCCTATGAGCTCACTCGGCCTGACATCACCCAGGGTCCACCAATCCCAGGCTGGACCCCCTCCCCCCGCCCCCGTTCTCCGCCAGCAGGAGGGGATGTCATGGAGCCCCACTGCTCCCAAGTGGGCCAGGTGCGGCTCCCCCACCCCACCCCCGCCCCGTGCACCTCTCCGGGTATTTGAGGTCCAGAGCATTCCGACCTTCATCCCCTCCCCCCTCAACCCAGTCATTTGCCCCAGACGGCATGAGGGCCTGACCTCAGGCGGCAGAGCTGCCCACTTTTGCCCTCCTCCCCCGTTCCAGGTCATGCCCCTGCCCTTCCCCTTTCTCATATGGAAACCATCGCTATCCATGTAACCGACACCACAGGCACGCCTAGGCCTCAAGTTTCAGGGGTGGCGGGGCAGGCTCGGGTGACAGAAGCTTCCCATCCCGTCGCGGCTGCCCCCCACCCCAAGTTCTCCCACCCAGTTAAGCCTTGCACTAAGAGAGGTGGTGTGGCCAAAGACTGGAACTGTCCCCTGCCCAGGCCACAGCTCCTGCATCCCCACAGTAGTCCCAGACCCTCCCTCCGCACCCCACCGGACCAGGTTCACGTGGCAGGAAACACAACACGCCAGATTTGTTTTCTGGGTCAGCCAGCCCCTTCTGCAACCCCTACAGCCTTTGAGGTTCACACCCCACAACCCAGCTCCCTCTGGCCAGTTTCAGCACCCCTGCGTGAGGGGGCAAGTGGTCAGCAAGCACACAAAGGACCCTTTGTAGAGTTGACCAGTGCCTGCAGCTCTGCATGCACACACCACAGAGGAGACAGGCATCACATAATGCTGGCATTCGGGCCCAGGGATGGGGAGTGGGCTGTGGCTGAGCCAGAGCCTGTCCCACAGCTTTGAACAAGGCCCATTGGCTGGGGACGCAGCCCCTGCTCTAGTCCCAGTCTAGCCATCTGTCCTTCCCTCCAGATCAAAGGTGGATCTGCCAGAAGAGCTGAGAGGGAAGGGGCAGAAGTGGGTGGATCCAGAGCCCTGTGAAGCCTGTGCCCTTCCCATGCCACCTCCGCCCAGTGGCCTTGTGACCTGGCTCACCTGTGCAAACTGATCACTCAGCTCCACCCTGGGGTGGCATTGCCTTGGGCTGGGTAGAGAATTGCATGGTCTGGGCTCTGGTCAGACCTTAAAGGGTTGCCACCATACCTGCCCTGCTGTGGTCTTCAGCCGTTCCCTCTCCTCTCACACTAGCCTTGCTCTTTCCCTCTGATCACCTTGCCCTCACCTCTGCAGCTCCCAATCTTAGTAAAACAGCCACAGGCCTTGGACGATGCCAACCTGCCCCCACCATTTTCCCTCTCATGTGTTGGCTCCTGTTTCGTGGTGCCCATCTCAAGCCTGGCTCCTCCACCCACCCAGCGGTTGTGGAGTAGGAGAGGGGTTATCACTGAACCCAGCCTTCTTTGCCCTGGTGGAAGGAGGAGCTAAAGCAGTAGCCTCTCCTGCACTAGCTGGCCAGAGTCTCCCACTGGGAAGACACAAGTGTCATTCTTAGGCTGCCATTCCCCACCTGAGCCTGAAGCTGTAGGTGTGCACACATCTGCATGCATTCCCTGATTGTTTTTTTCTTTTTTCCTTTTCTGTGTAGCCCTAGCTGCCCTGGAACTCACTATGTAGAACAGTTAGTTCCACCTGCCTTTGCCTCCCAAGTGCCGGGATTAAAGGTGTGTGCTACCACGCCCGGCTCTGCATTCTCCATTAAATCCCTGGCACTCTGCAAAAGGTGGCACAGTTCCTGGCCAGGCTATCTGGGGGTTTTTGTCTAACCTCCACCAGTGTTCATCCCTGAGTTCCCATGGACCCAGCTAGGACCTTAAATTCTTTTTTTGTTTTGTTTTGTTTTTTTTTTGAGACAGGGTCTCCCTGTAGCTCCAGCTGGCCTGGAACTCACTATGTAGACCAGGCTGGCCTTGAAGTCACAGAGATCTGCCTGCCTTTGTCTCCTAAATGCTGTGATTAAAAGTAATTTCTGGCCAGACCTTCAATTCTTCAGCTTGCCCTGGGCCCAGGAACCCCCACCTGTGACCACAGGTCCACTAGGCCAGTCCCTCAACAACCCAGTCCCCCCTGTGTCCCCCCCCATGTCAGCCCAGTCCCACTTCTGGGAGACAGAGCTAGTTCAATACCTCCTTCTTGAGTGAATCCAGCTTCACGTGGCGAAGCCTGTTCTTGGTCTGTGTGTAGATGTTAGTTGCTTGTAGCCCCACAGGGGGCTTGGGAGCTGGGTAGCCTGGTGGAGGTGGGGGCAGCTGGGGGCCTGGGGGTGGGGGTGGCGGAGGGAAGGTTGGTGGTGGTGGTGGTTGTGTACGCTTCTCCGTCTTGCCCCGAGGCAGGCTCAACTCTGGGTTCAGCATGTCTATGTAGCTCTGTAAATCTGCAGCTCTTTCACTGGAAAGCCCTGGATAGTGGGACACAAGGGCAGGCAGGGTTAGGAGTTTGCAGAAAGTACCCCAAGCCAGAGCCTCCCCACCACTTAGAAACAACTTTCCCAGAGGAAGAGCAGACTAGGGCCACTATCTGATATGGCCTGATGTGGCCTCTGCAAAGCCTGCTGGTTCCTCCTGCCTGCCCTGGTCTCAGGGAAGGATGATGTTCTCAGATTGGGAGGGGACACATTAGGGGGCTTTGGGTCCAGGATGTGCCTGTAGTGCAGGGCCACCTGGACGGGGGAGGGGTGGCTCTTCTGGCAGGGCAAGCTGCAGATTGGGAGGGGACACATTAGGGGGCTTTGGGTCCAGGATGTGCCTGTAGAGCAGGGCCACCTGGACGGGGGAGGGGTGGCTCTTCTGGCAGGGCAAGCTCCAGGTGTCTGGATAGGCACAACCACACCTTTGCAGAGCACTGAGCTAGCTCTGCAGGGTACCACCTGGTGGTGGGAAGAATCAGTGCAGAGCGTGGTCATTGTATACACTCATCCCTGGCTTTTGTCTGAGGGCTTTTGTATTTGTATATTTAACCCTGTCCCTTTTATGCACATGACTTTTTGTATTTGTATGTCTGCATTGGTCTGGGGCAACGTGTGTGTGTGTGTGTGTGTGTGTCCACCCATATCCATAGTAGGGACATGGAGGGTTTCTGTCTGTGTGTGACAAAGGTATGTGCATATATCTGCATACGTTTGTATGTGTGCCTGGGCAAACTTGTCTGTATACTGTGCACACATGTGCAAGTGTGCACTCTTGAGTATGGTGTGTGAGAATAAAGAATCACATGTGGGGTACATGTGGGCTTTGTGGGGGAGAGTATATGGAAATGTCCATGTATGTGTGTGGTGGATTAATAAGCTCCTTCCTCATATTCAGACAAGTGATGGAGGCAGCCTGGGAGGTAGCTGTGGGCAGATGGTCCCGTGTGTCTCCTCTCCCTCCTTCCTCTTCCCACCCAGTCCACTCACCTCGAAGAGGGCGCTGGCCCTTGATGCTGGAATGGCCTGAAGAGCAAGAATCATAGTTGGAGAGGGTGCTGGTGGGTGAGCTGAGATCAAAGTTCAGTGGCTGGACCGACATGGTGGTGTTGGGTGAGGACATGCCGGAGTCGGGCTGCTTTGCCTCCAGTTCAGTGGATGGATCCCGGGACAGCACTCGATGCTCCACACTCTGAGGGCAAAGCAGGGAAGCTGTAGGGGGGTAACCTGGGTGCTCTGAAGACCAAGGGCCCCATCAGACATGTCCTCACTGACAACTTCAGCCAAGACACTTCCCTCTTTCAGATCCTCCCTCCATCATGAGCAAGTTTCAGAGTCTTCTCAGACTGAGTCAAGTCCAGACCCCCCGCCCCAGCAACAGAACCTCAAGTCTCAGGTAAACTTCCGCCTAGGCCCCTTCCTGTTTAGGAAGGTGAAGGCCTACTGAAGGGAGGGCCTGGGCTGCACCCCAAGGGGGTAACAACCCTGCACCAGCCTTTCCTTCCTGTCAGTGGGAAGAAGGCCTTGGATCCTATGTATCTGTCAGGAGAGGGTCCCAGGGGCTGCTGCTGTAGGAAGTGGAGGGATAGAGGAAACTCATCCCCTGCTGCCTGGCTGAAACCCTATCCTCTACATGCTTGGTCTACCAGCTACCCTAAGCTAGCCCACCTCCTGATGGAGGAAAGAATGGGTTCTGGATACAAATCCTCAGCTGGCACTGCCTGCTCTCCCTCCCACCGGCTGGGCCTCTGCAGGCCTGACCCTCCCCACTGGGAGCAGGCTGGGGCTGGGGTGGGGGCCCTACTTACATTGCCCATGCTATTCCTGCTGCCAGCAAGCCTGCTCCTCGGCTGCCTCCTGCCCAGACCTACTCCTTCCTGCCCCTTGCCCCCTCCCTGCCTGAGAAGTGTCACAGGCCCCTTGGGAGAGGGAGGCAGGCTGGCACCAGGTAACGGCTCAGCAGCCACGCTCATTGGCCCTGTAATTAGGGGCTCTTCGGGAGTGTTTGCCTTTTCTGGGCCAGCTTCCTTGACTCTGTTAGGCTGCTGCTGGGCCTGCCTGGGTGAGGGGACTAAATCCTGCTGCCTACCTGACTCACTTTAAGGGGTCCAGGCCCGGTTGCCCTGTGAACCAAGGTGGGGGGAACTCCACAAGATGGCTTGGGAGACAACTTGAAAAGTTCTTTTTTCTTGGCTAACACTCGTGGGCACCCAGCCCTGACTTCTGTAGGCCACAGAAGACAGAAGCTAGGACACAGGGACATAGGCTCTGTACCTGGAATAATGACTTTGAATTTCCCCTCCTCCATGTAAGAGCTACAGGGCTGTGTATATACCAGTCCTTTCCATGCCTGAATTTCTTTATCTCTAACTGGGATTAACAGTGTGTTTGCTTCCTAGATGGCAAAGAGGAGGTTCAAAGTTGGTGGTGTGCTATTGCATGGTACCTAGTACATGCCCTAAGTGCAAAAGTGCAAAGTACCAATAATACTATGAAGATGGACTGAGGTCTCATGGGTGAAGCACAGGGCAGAGAACCTGCCAGTGTCAGAATTCAACGACAGTGCTTACTGCTGTATTGTTAGCAGCAGCTATAGCCTGGCAGGTTCAAGAGGTGCTAGAGGGCCCTGGGCCCTCGTAAGCACAGCCATGCCCAGAGACAGGATCTCTCAGCAGGAAGGAACCCACTTTTGGTGCAGCATGAAATTTCAGTGTCTATCCCTGTTGATGTCACAGCGACTGACAGGGTGCACATGACTTGTTGCTCACTCTTGGAGGCCCTTTCTAGAAGTTCACCCTCCAACCTACCTGCCATCTTTGACCACTGCACTTTGCTATACTTTTCAGGTCCCCAAACCAGGGTCATCCGCATGGGCTAGCCGACAGGGCCAGGGGCCATCTGCTTTCTCTTCTCCAGGCCCTTTCTCATGGCCAGGCTAGGCCCCAGAGCTGGTCAGCATCCCTCTGAGGGTACCTGTGAGGCCTATGCTCTATCCACTGCCTCAGAGCAGACATTGTACCAGACAGGGCAGGGCCCTGGACTTGGAGACGCCTACCTCTGAGCCCAAGTCCCAGTAGGCCACTTCATGGCTTTGTAACCATAATAAAATAATTTACAGGAGTCACATAGTTTTCTAGTTATAAATTAACTACCAAGTGAGCAAATGTGTACTGGTCAAGAGAGGTGGCTAGTGCCAGGGGCTGTAGTGTATAACTGTAATCTCAGCTACTTGGGAGGCTGAAGCAAGAAGACCAGAAGTTCGAGGCTAGCCTGGGCAACTTAGCAAGATTCTATCTCAAAATAAACTTAAGGGGGAGCAGCTCAATGGTAGAGTACTTGCCATGTACTCCCAAGGCTGCATGTATGTAAGTGCACCAGTCAAATTCTCCTGGAACTGGAGTTACGGGTGGATGTTATCCACCATGTGGGTGCTGGAACTCAAACGCCAGTTCTCTGCGAGAGCAGCTGGTGCTCTTAACCGCTGAACCATTTCTCCAGCCCCCTCAGCTTCCTTCTTGGTTAAAGGGGTAAAAGACACTTATATTTGGGGTTGGGGCTGAGATGTGATAACTGCAGGAGCCTCTCCGGGGTCCTACCAGGGACTCCACAGTGCGCAGGTAGCGAGTGCACTGGTTGTGGCCATTGAAGTTCGACAGGTCGGCAGCCGTGTAGCCGTCACGGTCGCGGACGTCCAGCGCCGCGCCGTTCACCACGAGGATCTGGCAGCACTGCCGGGGACATGAGGTGGGGCAGGGCTGGGAGCTGGGCACCTCCACCTGCTGCAGGCCAGGGCGGCTGCACCGAGGTCGCTCGGCCACCAGAGGGCGCACGCGTCCCAGCCTGGCCCCGGGCCCCGCCCCCGCCCGGCCCCGCCCCCTGGGCCCGCCCTGACCTCCAGTTCCCCGTTCTCAGCAGCATCGTGCAGTGGGGTCCCGCCCCACAGGTCCCGCGAGATCTCCCCGCCGTGCAGCAGGAGCCAGCTGAGCACTTTGGCATGGCCGCGGCTCGCCGCGAAGTGCATGGCGGTGGCGCCATCATGGTCCGGCTCGGACAGACTCAAGTCGGTGCTACTCACCTGATGGAGAGCGGGCGGGGAAGAAGGCGGGGTCTGTGCGCTGGGCCCAACCCCTCCCCCCACCCCCTTCCTCCCCGGTCCCCGCATCCCCTCACCTCCCTTCTCCTCCCT